TTCGATCCCGTGTGCTGCCCGCACGGCTACCACGCCACCGACGGGTACACGCTCACAATATGTTATATTCCTTTTCCATTATCACTGATACACGTATCTTCCCCGGTTGACAACACACACCACAAAACCTGGTTTTGGTGCAGGTGGGACGCCGCCTCTGGCCTAGGCACGCCCAACTTCCTGGAGCTCAAGGAGTTCGTCCTCCAGTACCCCAAGGCCCACTGAGGCACTTGAAATTTCAGGCCTCTCAGAGGCAAAATGGAGCTATTTATTGAACAAGAATATCAGGTTAGTCAGTGATGGAAGGCCACCTGTTGACTGGATGTCCATGGGACAGCCACTGCCTGGCCACACAAGCTGGAGTTTGAGGACAACCACAGCACGACCACTACCATGAAGACCACCCTCACCGCACTTTTCCTGTTCGCCTGCCTGCTTGTGGCGTTGGCCCTTGCTGACTCTGAAGAACGCCGCCCTGGTTGGCGCTGGTGGCGCTGGGACTCCACCTGGAATTCTGGTGGACTGGACCCCATGGAGCACCTCTACCTGGTGGCTCTGCTCCCAGTGCCCCCAGTGCAGAGGAGGACGACATGACCACCTAGTGGGAGCTGGCCTAACCTGTCCTTACCCACAAAGAAGAGATCTGGCAAATGTGACCAATTGTGTAGATGATATGGAATCTGCCCTGACTCTGTCCAAGAACACAGCTGCTGGCCAGAAGTTGGAGTGGGGGATGTTCTGCTGGAGTGTGTTGTAGATGTAAAACAGGTTCAGCTTGAAAATTGTACATTGATTTTCCAGCTCAAGGTGTGCCTGAAAAGGCCCCAATGGCCATTCTGGAAGATTGGGGTATTCGCTTGCTTCTTCCCTGGTCGGAGAGATGGCAGCCAGTCGGCGAGATGTGCTCGTCACAAAAACCCATTGGTGCCGTATTGTCCCACAAGACTCCGTCAACCCGCAAAGCACTGTCGCGGTGGGGAAGTGCCACTTCCCTTACACCACAGTACCCACCACCAGAGACGATGCAGTGTGTCGGCTTGAGTGTTTCCCTGCTGGTGCTTCTTGTGGTGATCACCACAATGACGGGCGTGTGCTCGGCCCAGAAGACCGCCAACGTCACCTTCTGCAGCCGCGAATGCTACGTAGCAGACGGCGCCCCAGGGTGCGGCAAGAGCGACCTCCCGGTCGTGGCCACCCCCCACGCCTTCACCTGCTACCCGGGTCCGGGCACCTTCCGCGGCGACACCAAGTGGGCCTCCTACGCGGTCCGCCTGACACAGCCTCCCAACGTCTACTCGGTGGTCTTCTACTCCGACGCCCACTGCAGCTCGAGCCACACCCTGGCCGCCACATCGAGGTGCCTTGCGGGCCGGTGCTGCGTCGGAGACTTCTACATCCCGCCCTCGCATCAAGACAACCGCGGCGACGTCCCCTTCTTCTTCGTGAGCGTGTGAAGCCTTTTATTCGAATAAAAGTCATACAATAATTCCACCTCCCACTACTGGAAGCCGATGACAACGGTGGATGGGTCGGTCACCTTGATTGTGGTCGTGCAGAAGGGGTTCTGGTTGCCAGTCTCCCACTTGGGTGTCGTGAGTTCGCGCTCCACGGTCCTGTGTGTTTTACATTGTGAGTGCATGAAAGCTGAGCGTTGGGTGTGTGTGTTGTGTGTGGTTGTCAAAGCGTACAGCTGGAGCTTGGTGAAGGGAACGGTGCCCGTGGGCAGGAGCGAGCAATCGTAGATGCCGTAGGCCTCGAGCGTCACATCTACGCATTTGGCGGTCAGAAAAAAAGCGAAAAAAACAAAAAACGAAAAACGAAGGAGGCACGAAGTACAGATCCAGGGCTGGGTGGCGAGAATAGGGCGGGAGACGGTGATCGCCGAGTTGATCTGAGAGGTGACGTCCACCGTGTTGATGTACCAGGCGTCAGCGCCCACCTTGGTCATGTTGCCTGCCCCCAGCCCACGGTAAGTCGCCACACACGTGAAACATCATGTCCGCAAGGCCAGCATACCGAAAATGACGTCGCCGGACTGGACGGTCTGGATGTCGCTGTAGACGACATCGTCGGTGAGCGTGACGTACCACGACGCAATCGCCCAGTAGTCCCAACCACCCGCAGCGCTCGGCCCGTACTATAGCATGGAACGTACATCAGTAGCGGGTCGTGTGGTGTTTTGTGTGTGTGCGTGTGTGTGTGTGTGTGTGTGTGTGTGGTGAGTGTGTGCGTGTCATACCTGGAGCACAGGCTGAATGATGTCGAAAGGAGTCCCGGGATGCGGCTGGGGAGGGATCCAGTTGATGTTCTGCATCCCCGTGAAGAGGAACCTGTCATGATTGGGTCAATGAGAGCATTTTAACGTTGATCCTTCCTCGCCTGGTGAAACGTGGAGATCTTGGAGAGTGTGCGTACACAGTCTGCTGGTCAAAGTTCTCAGGTGCTGGCGGTACGGGCCACTGGCCCAGCAGCGAGGTCACATTGTTGCTGAACTGTTGCACTACGGGGCGAACACACAACACGACACGACACGACACGACCAACGACACAACCAACGACACGACACGACACGACACAACACAACACAACACAACACAACACAACACAACACAACACAACACAACACAACACAACACAACACAACACAACACACGTCGTTAAGGCAACCGGAATGGTTCGATGCGGCAATGGGTCATGTAGGTGCGTACGCGTGTAGACCTGCCAGCCGTTGCCCTGTCCTCGCTTGGCCTGCGCGTGCTGCTTCAGCTCTGATGAGCCAGAAGAGCTCAAGTCAGCACGGACCACGCACGACACCGCACGCAGAGAGGCTGCATCGTAAAATCAAAAAGCGAACCTTGGAGGCGAGAAGGCGAGTAGCGGGAGGCGCACGGCTGGTGGTGGTGCTCCGATCCGTCGGGGTGCACGATGCGCACCAGCCCCTTGGCCGTCGTCTCCACATGGGCTCCTGTGTGTGCATGCAATCGAGAATTAGATCCAACAATCGATTCAAGTAAATTGGAGCGTAATCTGTTATGATTGAAGATGTGTAATGGAGGGGGGGGGGGTGAGACCGTTGGGAGCGGCGTGGACGCAGGCAGCGGGCCAGTAGCCGAAGGGAGTCAGTGCCAACCCGTCATCTTGGAGCTCCCTTTCCCTGGGTGTAGCGTGCGCCGCGAGCACGGCCACGGCCAGCAGAACAAGCAACGCGTGAGCAGGGAACCACCCCGATAACGTCACCATCTTCAGTCACAAGATATAGTTGAGCTGGCTAAGTGGTGCATTTTATTACGTCGCAAACTCCGGCATGTTTTGCGCCGCACCCAGCACAACACACGTGTGCGGCGGGCGTGTTGTGTGCGGCAAAAGGGTGGTGGAGCTTTGCGCCGAGTATCCCCGTACAGCCCTGCGAGCCGTGACAAGTGGTCCAAAGGACCTCTTCATCGGTAGTTACAGCTCGCAGTTGGTCATGATAGTTTGATGATGGCTGCACGGGGTGGGTTGTGGTCCACATTGAAAGATGGTCCTCGTCCCGTTGTCTCGAGCATCAATTAGCATGAGAGCACCCCCGACCTCGGCTGCTGCCATAGGTCGTGTTTTATGGTGGACAAGTTGGTCCGTCCTGCACGATTGTGGGACTTAGACAGAACCAAGGCGGAACGCCAGAAGTTGACCTTTCAATATTTCAAATCCGTTTTCGAAATAACCATCGCGTTTCGTTTTGTCATTTTTGTATTTTTTTGCCAAGCTGGTGGAGGAAGAACAGATGAAGCAGGCAAAGCGCCCGCGCGAGGAAGAGGCGAGCGAGGAGAAGGAAGCTGCCCACGACGCTACCACCCTTCAAGGCGAGCCAGCCCAAAAGAAAATCAGATCTGGCGATAACAGCGCATCTCAATCTCAATCTCTATCTGCATCTGAATCTCATCCACAGGAGATTTTGAAAGAATCAAATTTCCACTTCAACGAAGAACGAGTAGAAGGCGAGGATGAAGCTGCCAAGGCAAAGCCGATGAAGGTGGAAGCTGCAGTCGAGGCGAAGGAGAACGCCGAGGCCGGACCCAAGCCCGTCAGCGCGCTCGAAGCAGAGGTGGGCATCACCGTCTTGCTTGGCAGCAGTGCGCCGTGGATCGGCATCGTCAAGCACAGGTGCGTGTGCAGCGTGTGCGGTCGTGGTCGTGTAGTGCCGTGTGTGTGTCGTGTGTGACTCACAGTGCACGCGCCAACAGGTTTACAGACTTCCAGGTGCACGAGGTGGCGCTCGATGGCCAGGTGGCCCATCTGACCGATCTCACCTCCGTTCCGCCCGACACCACCAAGCCGCCCGCCGACGCCGCCGAGCCCGCCGCCGCCTCTGTCGACGCCGGCGCCGCCGATGCTGGCGATAAGGGCAAGGAGCAGCTGGACGACGATGCGGAGGTTAAGAAGGCGGCGGACGAGGCGGCGGCCAAGGCCGAGGCCGAGCGACTGGCCAAGGAAGAGCAGGCCGAGACCGAGGCCCGCGCCGCGCTGGTCCAGCTGCTGGGCGACGAGCAGACCGCGCGCGTGTTCGACTGGATGCACCAGACCAAGGCCGAGCAGGTTGAGCGCACCAAGCAACTTGCCACGTCATCGTCATCATCGTCATCACCAGCAGACCAGCCGCCGCAGGACGACAATGGCGGCCGGGGCGGTTGGCGCGGCCGAGGCGGTCGCGGTGGCCGTGGCGGGCGCGGTGGTCGGGGTGGTCGTGGCGGCGGCGGTCGCGACGCCGGGATTGTTGAGTACAAGGAGCTCAAGCTGGCGCCGAGCGACGACAAGTCTCAGCGAACGGAGGTGCACAAGGCCTTCCGTGTCCACTTCGAGGGCTTCCTCGACACGAAGACGCAGGACGACAGCGTGGTGGTCATGGTCGTCGGTCGCGCCGATCGTCGCGGCGCCCGACCAGCCGGCACCGGCGGCCGCAGCGACGCCGCCAACCAACGCAAGCGGTACCCAACCAAGCCCATTCATTTTATTTATTTATTAATTGACTTGTAAAATAAGAAAATATCGGATATTCAAATTTAATAAACGGAATATGTACAAATTTTAATTAATAGGAGTTTCAGTTAAACTGCAAGAACCACAATGGTTGTGTTGGAGCATAGACGCGCCGTTCAAAACAGGCCGACTCTCTGTTTTCTCGATCGGGGGTGTTTGGGTGGAGTAGCTGGAATCTCGCCTTTGCTGTGTGTGTTCTCTTCGGACGAAAACCGATGACGGCGGCTAATCACCGTCTGATTCGGCGCGCTGCGTGCGGCGTGTCGCTGATTGTAACAAGCAAACCTCTGAACTCCTCAACCAGTTGAAGGTGCACATTGTGTGCCAAGGCCAAGTCCAGTCGCCCACTGTGGTGTGACAACGGGGACGGTCTGACCTCATAAAACAAAACCAATCCTACACGATGGGCATCGTCGACCGAAAGACGAACCCTGCTCTAAAAAATCAGCAGCCTTAATCTTGATGGGACCCCACCAAAAAAGATAACAACACTTGAGAGTGAGGAGCGAGGCCCGCAGGCTCGCTCTGGCCCTCCTCTCTCGTGTGACAGATCCACCGCACCAGAACACAGCAAAAGGAGGCGCATGTTCGATTCATGCCCCAAAACCCCCACCTTTTTTTAACCACTGCACACACCACACACACACACACACACAGCATATGTCTTGTGTTGGTTTGTTTCTGTGACTGATTTGGCAACGTTGTTATTGTATTGTGCAGGCAATGGCCGACGTGCTGGGGTGACTACCTGCAGTTCGTGCTCTACAAGGAGAACAAGGACACCACCGCCGCGGTCGGCCTCCTCGCCAAGTTCACCAAGTACGTCGCCACGTTCCTCCCATTCGATTGGTCGCTACACTGCATTGCTTTCCATCGCGCAATCTCTAAGAATTGCGTGTTGTGTTTGTTTGACGGTGCGAACAGTGCGCGCGCGAGTCGGTTCTCGTATGCCGGCACCAAGGACAAGCGAGGGGTCACCACCCAACACATGACGATCTATCACATGCGCGTACGTTGCACTCCCAGCCGCACCCCACCCGTGGTCCACATCGGCCTAATCCACATTCTCCCTCATCATCAGGCCGAGCAGCTGCGCGGACTCAACGCCAAGCTGTACGGCATGCGCGTGGGCAACTTCTCGTACGTGCCAATCCGCACTTGCCCTAGTTACTGAAGAGAAGTCATCATTCACCTTTGTCGTGTGTGTGTGTGTGTGGTGTGTGTAGTTATGTGTCGCAACAGCTTCGTCTGGGTGACCTCTTTGGCAACCGCTTTTCCGTCGTGCTCCGGTACGCCACCGCACTCACTGTGAGTTGTGTCCGCACTACCACGTACGCGCTTGGAAGAAACTGATACTTTCCTTTGTCCTGTCCAGGGAGGTGTCGGCCTCGGAGGAGGAGATCAACCACTCCCTCACTGAGCTCAAGCGGACCGGTTTCGTAAACTACTACGGTAACCACTCTTTTTAACTCTCTTTTTCTTTCTTTCTTATTGATATGTCTTGTTTTTCTTTCGTTTTCTGTGACTCCCGCCTATGCTGGCTCACGTGCGCGTTTAGGTCTGCAACGCTTCGGCACGGGGTCGGTGGCAACGCACCGCGTCGGCATCGCACTGCTGCAGGGCCAGTGGAAGGAGGCCGCCGATCTCATCCTGCAGCCGCGGACCGGCGGTATATATATATATAACATTTTTATCATTTTTGTTTTTTTTTCGAACATATCCAAATTCACACTTGTGAAAGCTGCACGGACTGACATGCGTTGGAATGTTGTTGGCTGTAACAGAGGAGCAGGAATGTGAGAGCGCGCGCAAGTACTGGGCGGAGACTGGTGACATCAATGGTACGCACACCAATTGCGCCACCAACTTGGTCTCTTTCTTAAAGAATGTCAAGCAGCTAACGAACACCATAATATCATTTCCCAATTTGTCCTGCTGTGCGTGTCGTGCCGTTGGTCGTGTGTGTCGTGCTGTTTTTATGCAGGAACGCTGCGCAAGCTGCCTCGCCAGCTGTTCATCGAACGTCTGTTGCTCCAGGGCTACCAGAAAATGGGCAAAACGCAACACCTCGCCGCCTTCCAAACGGTGCTGATCCCCTTTACTCCTTTTTACTGTTTAGATTTTCCACCTTGGCTCCACACGTGGTTGGTTGGTGGCTGATTGATTTGTTGCAATGCAACGCACACAGCTGCCGCGCAACCTGCGAATGCTGTACCCGCACAGCTATCAGTCGTACGTGTGGAACTGCATGGCCAGCGAACGCGTGCGCAAGTACGGCGCCGACAAGCCCGTGGTGGGCGACCTCGTGCTTCTTGACACCAAAGGTGCCCCGCACACGACACGCACACCACACGCACACACGACACACGACACACAACACACACACACACACGCACACACGGGATATTGATACGCGCGAGTGTACAGGACGGGACATTGGCGAGCCGGTGGACGAAGTGGACGATAAGATGGGCGAGGAGGGAGAGGAAGAGGAGATCGACAACGCGGAGGATGCCAACGCGCCAAAGTACAGCGTCAAGGTCCTCACCGAGGAGGACCTGCCCAACTACACCATCTACGACGTCGTGCTGCCTCTGCCCGGTAAACACCTCCGCACGCGCCCACGCGCCCACGCGCCCACGCGCCCACGCACACGCACAGTCGCACACGCACACGCGTAGCGCTCATACGTGCACGCCCGTAGGATGTCAGATCAGGTTCCCAGAGAATGAGATCGGGGCGGCCTACCAGCGAACGCTCGCCGAACAGGGTCTCTCTGTGAGCACCTTCAATCACAAGGTGCCCATGGGTTTTTATTCCTTTTATTACAATTTATTTCGTTAATCATCTATTTTTTATTTATTTATTTTATCTTACCTTTTAGAACAAATAGGCCTGACAGAACACATCCTCACCACAGGTCCGCGATTTCCGTTTGCCCGGCAGCTACCGCCGCTTGCTGGGGAAACCGATTGACCTCGAGTGGTACGCACACCATCCGGCACGCGCGCGCATGCACACCACGCACACCGCGCGCGCGCACACACACACACACACGACACAGACGGCACAAGACGAACGTGGGTGGTTTGCTCAATCCGCGCTGGCAGGGAGTTCATGTACTGCGACAACCCGAACGCAGATCTGCTGCCGACGGATCTCGACAAACTCGAGGGCAAGGCTCCGCTGCCCTCCCAGGGCCTCACCACAGGTATCCCCTCGCCCATCCGGCAGCTGTGTGTAAACTGATGGCTAAATCGTGTGACGTGTGCGTGCGCGTGTGTTTGTGTTGGCTCGCCAGGGCGTCATCGAGCGGTGAAGGTGTCGTTTACGCTGGGCTCGTCGTCGTATGCGACGATGTTGTTGCGGGAGATGATGAAGCAGGACAGCTCGGTCGACGTCCAGAAGCGGCTCTACGTCGCCCAGCGCGAGAAGCAGACTACCACCGCCTAGAAAGTCATGAAGGAAAACCTCACAGTGAGATCGGACAGATCTGCAGGGGATGGTGATGATCAATATACCGTGGCAACCAATCGTCACTTATGTGGTTACCATTTCCCACCTTTTGTTCCCACATCCTGGCGCAGTGGGGCAGGGACGCTGGCCAGTTCTTTCAATAGAGGACCCAACCGCTTATTTCAGGAGGCCTTAATTGGCATAAAACCGAAAAAACCCGGTTTATCGAACCTTTCTTTGCCTTTTTCCTTAAAATGTGAACAAAAAAAGAACGAAGAAAGCTCCGTTAAATTGGCCGAGTGAACCTAAATTAACGAGGTCTGCCCCACCACCGGCAAAACCGAACACAAGAAGGCCCCTCTCGGCCAGCGCGCAACTGATTGATGGAACCGACAGGACTAGCGCCCGGCTTGGTGCGGCAACCGTCCTTCAAAGAAGAAGAAGGTGCTTTGCTCCCACCCCGCTCCATTTCAGTTTGAAATGAATGAATAATAATAAAAATAAATAAATTTCGCCCTGCAGGCCGCGTGCCACGCGAGGCAGAAAAATGAGCATCTAACGTTCACTCTTTCACCCCCCCCCTCTCATTGTCACCCACCAGACGCCGTGGGAGATGAACCGCGACAGAGGGAACGGCTGGAGAAGGAGGTGCGCGCAATGCACGAGCAATTCTCGCAGCTCAAGGCCCTCCTCGACTCTGAGCGCAAAGCCCGCGTCGAACAGGCACACCTCCTCCTCTTTCCCTCTGATGTCGTGTGCTGCGCGCGTGCGGTCGTGCGTGTGTGCGTGTGCGGTGATGCGTGTGGCGTGTGCCGCTCGCGGTGTGCGTGTGCGTGTGGCATGACACGCGCGTGGCACACGCTCACGGGCCTCCTACAGGAGAAGGCACGCGCAGAGGCCGAGAACGAACTCAAGGAGGTCCGCTCGGCCTTTGAAGGTACCTCGTGTTCTATTTATTAATATTATTATTAGTTTTATTTATATTAATTGTTCCCCCCAATGGCCAGGCACGGTGTGGACGAGGGTGGGGCTAGAAGAGGAGGTGAAGAAGATGGAGAAGGAGACCTACTTCCTCAAGAAGATGCTGGACGAGCTGTCCGCCTCGACCAACAACTCGGTCGGGATCGAAGAGAAGATAGAGAGTCTGGAATCCCAAGTACGCTCGCTCTTCGTTCTGACTGCTTCTGCAGTTTTGTTTGACGCCGCACACACGCACACGCACACGCACACGCACACGCACACGCACACGCACACGCACACGCACACGCACACGCACACGCACACGCACACGCACACGCACAGACAACGACAAGGTCGAAGAGCGGGAGTTCCTCACTCGAGTGCTGAAGCGGCTGCAAGACCAGACGCGGGTGATGCGAAACACTCTCGACCTCCACATCCAGGGCAAGAATGCCAATTACGCCGACCTCGAAAGCAAGCGGTGCGCATCAAACCACCACCACCACCATCACCACCCTCGTGGTGATGACTGATCGCTTCGCCGCAGGAATGAGCTGCGAAGAAAGCTGAGGGCTCGAGGCGACGTGGAGCGGGTGATCATGGAGCTCGAGGACGAGGTCGAATCGCTCAAGGCGCAGATCAAGCAGGAGGAAAAGGCCCGCGAGCAGCAGGAATGGCTCGTCGACATCGAAATCAACGATCTAAGCAAGAGGCAAGCCCACTCCCCCCTCCCCCTCAATGCTCCGCTTTCGTTCTTTGGCTGACTTCGCTTTCGTTCTTTTCTCTCTTCCCTCCCCCTCCAATCTGCGATTCTTAAGACTCGGCTTGGAGATCGCGGCGAGGGAGAAGACGCGAAAGATGATCGACCAAGCCGCCGCGCACCGGAAGAAAATCGTTCAGGAGCTCGAAGCCCTCAAGGCCAGAGCTGTGGCGTCGCCCGTACGTTCTCTTCCTTCGTGTGTGCGCGTGTGTGTGCGCGCGTGTGTCGTGCGGGGGAATTGGCTCAATGACTGTCGACAGGGTGGTATGAGGGACGGCAAGGAGGGAGCGCGGAACGAATTCAGAAAATCGTTCCACCCGGCGGCGTTCCATCGCACCCAAAGCGGCCCCAACATCGACGAAAAGAAGGATGACGAAGCGCAACCGAGTTCGAGCCTGAGCGCTGGGTCGTTCTCGCCCGTCAGAGAAAGCTCGTCGTACGCGGCCCGCCTTTCCACCAGCACTGCGCTGTCGCGTAGATCTCTAACATTCTCTGTGCCTCAGCCTGTTCGTGAGCGGCGAAATGGTCTTCAAGGGCGGAAGCAGTGGCTCCACCCCGGGCTCGGTACGCAACACATACATGACCCGCACGGCACGCACGACACGACAGGACACGCACGACACGCACACGACAGGACATGGCACGCACACAACTCATCTCCTTGTTGGTTGAGGGCTACAGGCGAAAGTCACCGGGCGGCGAGAAAGCCTCACCGGCAGTATATCGCCCAGTCTCTCCCTGTCGGAGCCCAGGGTTCGTGAACGAACACCCTCCTCTCACCCACCATGTGCCACCGGTTCTGCTCGCTCACCACCCTCTCATCAGGAATCGGACAGCGAACTCGGCGACCTTCCTTTCACACGCAACCTGCAAGGTGCGACACGACACGACGACACGACACGACACGACACGCACACACCGCACACGCATCTGATGGTGTGGCGACTGTGTGGTGAACAGACCTGCGAAATAAGGTGGACGAGGTGTGGGAGGTGATGAGCGAGGAGGGGGACAGGAGCCGCAGCCTGGAGAGGGAGCTGAAGGAGATGCAGAAGGCCGTGGACGAGGAGCGGGAGGAGCGGCGCCGGCTGGTGCAGGCCATGGCCGAGGAGCGCGAGCGGCGGGAGGAACTCGAGCGGAAGCTCACACGCGTCCTCGAGCTTCACCAACAAGGAGCAAGCCCTGCCCAGGAATGAATGCACTCAACAGCACCACTACTAACTGTACCAGCACATGTGCTGCAACACCAACAACCTAAATTAAATGTTTTCGAGCCTAGGCATGCACACGAACAATATAATGGTACTGATTGGACTGGTTGCGTTGGGTTGGGCGGCCATGTTGCCCAGGAAGGAGGAAAGGAGGAAAAGGCGAAGAAAACATTTTTCATTCTACGCTTTTTCCGTTACGAAACTCACAACGACGGAGTTTGCTGTCGGTACAACTTGCTCGCCAAACCGGAAGGGTCATCATCTTCTCCAGCCCGGCTAACTCCTTCTCATCTCTCCTTGCATCAACTTCAGCCGTTCAACCGCAGACATCCTTAACCTCTCCCTTCCGTATCTCCTAATCCACACATAGTACGCACCCTAATCCGCAATCGCTGTATCACCCATCATTTCTTCGATTCTTCTTTCTCTGCATTCTATCATCAGAAGAGAATTAGAGGAGCCGAAGCATGTGCGATTTCATTTGACCATTCAAGATTTAAATCTTACGCGATTTTCATAATCGGGATTTTATTTAAACAGAAGATGAGTTCCGCTGTGACCAACGGCAACGGCAAGAAGAGCGCCAAGCGAAAGAGGTCCGAGCAGGCCGCCGAGGATGCGCCTGCCGCCGCCACCGACAACAACCTGACCAAGGAGCAGAAGAAGAAGGCCAAGAAGGAGAAGAAGAAGCTCGCCCGCGAATCCAAGAAGCGCGAGGAGACCGCCGCCGCCACCGCCACCGGCGAGGAGGAGCAGGAGGAGAAGAAGGAGAAGAAGGAGAAGCCCAAGAAGAAGAAGGCCAAGAAGGAAAAGAAGGCCAAGAAGCCTGCTGCTGCTGACGTCACCACCGCTGCTGACGTCACGCCCGCTACTACTACTAAGGCGCTGGTCAGCGAGGTGAGCCAGGCCGAGGCCGAGGCCTTCCGCGCGGAGCACAGCATCACCGTGTCGGGTGACAATGTGAGCGACAGCGCCGCGAGCCTGCGACCGATCCTGAGCTTCGACCAGGCCAAGGCGATGATGGCCCAGCGCGTGCGGGACGAGGGCCTGGTCGGCGCGGGCGGCGAGGCCGCGGTGCAGAAGCTGACGACGGCCTTCTTTGCGTCGACCGCCGGCTTTGCCCGGCCGACGCCCATCCAGAGCCAGTGCTGGCCCATCCTGCTGGCCAAGCGCGACGTGGTGGGCATCGCTGAGACGGGCTCGGGCAAGACCCTGGCCTTCCTCCTCCCCTCCCTCCTCCACATCAAGAAGACCATGCTCGCCGCCGGCAGCAACGGCAACAAGAACGGACGCGGTACGCACACTTGGCACCGCACCGCACACGCACGACACACGCACACAAACATTCATCGCACACGCGCGCGCTACACAAATTCTTGGCATTTTGGCGGGAAAGCTCTGATGGAATTTAAAGCATGTATTACATGATATTATCTTGTGATTAGACGTTGAGACTGATGCTTTCCAGTGGTCATTATTGTTTTCATTCCTTTTTGATGTAGGAGAAGTAGGAGGGCATGTGGCTGACTTATTATCTGTTCTGTTCTCTCTTGTGTCGCATAGCTGCGGCGCCGATCGTGCTGGTGATGTCGCCCACGCGCGAGTTGGCCATGCAGACGGCCGAGGTGGCCGTCGAGCTGGGCTCCGCCTGTAACGCCAAGAGCATTTGCATCTACGGTGGTGTCTCCAAGGACGCCCAAGTCAGGGTACGCACATGTGACGCTCACCACTCACTCAGCGCACGCACCACCGCACGCACATACGCACAGCGACTCATTCATATGCTTCATTGCAATGCATGGTATGCAGGAACTCCGCGGAGGCGTGCAGATCGTGGTGGCCACCCCCGGCCGCCTGCTCGATCTGGTCAATGACGGCGCCCTGACGCTGGCCAGCGTCGACTACATCGTGCTCGACGAAGCCGATCGCATGGTAACCACCACCACCCGGTGGCCATGAAGACTTGAATGCTCACAAGTAGTATGTTGTGTGTCGTGTCGTGTTGTGTTGTGGCAACGCAAGCTCGATCTCGGATTCGAGGAGGACATCCGAAACGTGATGCGTCAGGTGAAGCAGCAGAGGCAGACCCTCATGTTCAGTGCCACGTGGCCGCAGATCATCCAGAAGCTCGCCAGCGAGTTCCTCGCCTCTCCGGTCAAGGTGGCCATCGGCTCGCAGGACCTCCAGGCCTGCAAGCGCGTCAAGCAGATTGTCGAAGGTTCGGCCCGCGCATTCCTCCACACGCATTCATTCTCTACATTCCGCAAGTTGCTCAACCTGTGCTTGTTCGTGTCGTGTTACGAACACAGTGATGGACTCGCACGCGAGGGATGCTAGGCTGGACCAGCTGCTGAGGCAGTACCAGAAGACCAAGGACACGAAGCTCATCATCTTCGTGCTCTACAAGAAGGAGGCCGTCCGTGTTGAGAGCATGCTCGCCCGGAAAGGCTGGACCGGAATCCAAGGTATGCAACCCGACCCAACACGACACAGACACATTTCAACAAGTTAGAGAGAGCATATATGATGTCAAATTTATGCATGTATTACATGATCACCTGTGATTAGAACATCTTATCCACTGATACGCTCTCATTTTTTATCAACATTTACATCAACATCAACATCAACACAACACATGGTAACTGATGTTTTCTTTTTCTTATCTCGTTTCCCTCTCTCCAGCGATTCACGGCGACAAGCACCAGAACGACCGCACCAACTCGCTGCAGAGCTTCAAGACCGGCCGCAGCCCGATCCTGATCGCCACCGACGTGGCGGCGAGGGGCCTCGACATCCCCGACGTCGAGTACGTCATCAACTACTCGTTCCCGCTCACCATCGAGGACTACGTGCACCGCATCGGCCGCACGGGCCGCGCGGGCAAGGAGGGACTCGCGCACACGCTCTTCACCGACTTTGACAAAGCGCGGGCGGGCGAGCTGGTCAATGTGCTGCGCGAGGCCGGGCAGGAGGTGCCTGAGAAGCTCACGCGATTCGGCACCCACGTCAAGAAGAAGGAGCACAAGCTCTACGGCGCCCACTACAAGGACATGTCGACCGCCTCGGGCGCGCCCGTCGCCCCCAAGCGCATCACCTTCGACTAAAGAGGATGTCGTAGATGCGAGCCGCCACACATTTTTGTTGCTACGACAATACACAGATCAACTTATCAATTACTGAAGGGAGTGGTTGCTTCTTGATTGATTAGAATTTTCTCTGCCTCTTTTTCTCACCTTTTTCAAGTCGAGCAATTTGTTTCAAATCGTAGGATAGAAGCAAGATGGCCGAGATCGCGTACAGCTATTCGGAGGTGGACAATCCTCTGCCCAGGAAGCGGGAGCGCCTGGAGGAAGAGGAGGAAGATGGACAGACCTACGAGCAGCGGGTCGAAGAATTCAAGAATCTCACCCCTCGCGAGAGGAAGGTTGCCGAGTTGAGGAAGAAGCTGAAGCAGAGCAGGTGACCTCCCCTTCAATCATCCCATCCCTTCCCATTTTCTTTAATTCGCTTAATTTGCATCTCTATCCCCCCCCCATCTAATTTGTCACCGCACTAACCCACGCTTTTACAGAAATGAGAATCGAAAGGCAGTGATCGAGGAAGATCAGCGCCAGCATGATCCTCAGGCCGAGGCCAAGCGCAGAAAGCTCGAATACTACGAGCAGCAGGAGTCCGAGCGTAGGGAGATGGAGGAGAAGGGTGGCGATTACGAGAAGAAGAAGCTCCTCAACACCACCGCCGAAGCCGCCGAGGGCTCGCTCAAGAAGAAGGAAAAGAAGAAGGCCCGCGCCGACTCCTCCTTTGGTTGGGAGAGTACGTACTGCCCCCCCCCCGCACACACGCTTACACGTTGCGTGTGTCTTACGGTGCGTTTGGTGTTCTTTTGCGTTTGTAGAGTTCGGCACGGACGCGCAGTACAACGCCTTCAAGAAGAGGCAGAAGGACAGCGGCTTCTCCAAGGAGGAGTACGATAAGAAGAAGGCCCAGGTCGAGGCCAAGGTTCGCGCCAACGCCCCACACAACCTCTTTCTTTCTTGCTCTGGGTCCAGTCCTCACCGCCACTGTGTGCGTGGACACAGGGCGGAGACTTCTACAGGGATGCCGACTATCTGAGCTACGGCCAGGACTCGCAGGCCATCTCACGCGACAAGGTCAACGGAATGAGAAGGGAACTCGACAAAGTGTACGTATTGCTGCTGTGCCTCACAGGCAGTTACACTGTGGTGTGTGTGTGTGTGTGTGTTGTGTGGTGTGTGGTGCACGACACGAAGCAAAAAAGCTCACCGTGCCATGCACCACTTTTCAGGTTCCAGCGCCGCAAGGAGTTCAGCAGGAGGAGGACGCACTTGGAGGATGAGGACGTCACCTACATCAACGACAGAAACAGGAAGTTCAACAAGAAGCTCTCGCGAGCCTACGACTCCTACACCTCGGAGATCAAGCAGAACCTCGAACGCGGCACAGCTCTGTAAGATGACGCGTCATGTGGCAGTGATGCTAGTCGCTGCTCGGCGGTATATCTTCATGTTGGCGCTCGACCCAATAAACAGTGTACATACATTGCACCCAAAGGAAATGCTTCCCTCTGCTTGAAGAAAACATCATTTCTTCGACATTTATTTCTTGCGTAAATTCATGTCCGGCCCCAGGGCCAGTTCGGTAAACGGTCAGGTATCGAAACCAACCGAGCACGACGATGCACGCAGCAGACGAGGGGCTGGTGGGGATTGGGGACCTGCCGGCTGAGGTCCTGCTACACGCGCTGTCGTTCGTGAGTCCGGCCGACCTGGGTCGTGCCGAGGTCGTCAGCGCGGAGTGGCACCAGCTGGTGCGTGACGACGAGCCCACCTGGCGCGCCGTCTACTCTTCCTTCTTCGGCGGCCCCGCCAACGGTCGGTTCACCCACCCCTCCCAATATATTGTGTGATATTATTTTAAATTCATTTCTAAATATTATGCACGTAATGATGAAATAAAAGTAAATGATAATAAACCAGAATAGTGAATTCCAAATCATTAATAAAAATTGAATAAACCAGGAAAGGAGACGTGGCGGACGCTGTGCGTGAAGGCGGTCAAGCGCGTCAGGCAGACGTGCGCCCGATCGGACTGCACACCGGAGGCCCGCACGCTCGACCTCCTCAAGTACCGTGAAACATTCCACCACATTACCCCCCCGCAACTAACATCGTGGTGTGTGCGGTGTGTGCGGTTGTGCCAGGTGGGCGTGTGTGTGCGGCCACCACCGCTTCTGCGTGCAGATGTTCGCCGATGGTCGCATCGGGCCGGAGACGCTCGAGCACGAGGCCTCGGTCGTGTTTCCGCTCCACCTGGCCGTCCAGAGCGGCAGCCCCGAGACCGTCGAGGCGCTGCTCGGCGCCGGCTTCAACGTCCAGCGGCGTAATGCGACCGGCGCCTCCGCAATCGGTCTGGCGGCCCAGAAGGGCATGCTCGAGATCGTCGAGGTACTGCTGCGCTGGCCTCTACGCGCATGTGCAACCACGCACGACCGCACACGACACGCAAGGCCGCACACGGCATGACACGACACGACACGCGCACACACAGTTGTTATTGCGGTATGGGGCGGACACGGGAGAGATCGACAAGTTGGCGCAGAGCGAACGGCCAGCCGCTAAGACCGAGGAAAGCCAAGGGCAAGAACGCCATTTCGCTTCTCCATCAAGCTGCCGCTGGCGGACTCACAAGCGTACACCGACACGACATGACACACGACACACACGACACACGACACGACGTGACACACACGACACTTGGAAAGTAACGGGTGTGGTCAGATCGTGAACGTGCTGGTAGAGCGGGTCGAGGGTGAGGAGCAGCGGCGAGAGTACGTCAACATGAGCGACGGCCGCACGGGCAACACCCCGCTGCACTACGCCGCGGAAAAGGGTCGGCAGAGCATGGTCCGCTGCTTGGTCCAGCTCGGCGCCGGTACGTAGCGCCGACGAAAAAGAAAGAAGAAAGAACCAGAGAAAGAGCGAAAGAGACAAAGAACGAAGGAAAGAACGAAAGCGAAAGAGTTAGAATCAGCGAGAGACGCAAAGACAGTCGTTGGTGCTGATGGTGGTTGGTCTGGGCGCACAGATGTGAATCGCGTCAACGAGATCTCGCGGATGGTGCCGTTGCACCTGGCGGTGTCGAACAAGCACGCGCCGACCGTGCGGCTGCTGCTCGAACTGGGCGCCAAGAATGCCAACGAACATCGCCCCGGCAAAAGGGTATTTTTGATGCCATATCCACCTGTGCATGTTTCTCACTGCACGCGCTCCACCGCACACACCGCACGCACCGCATCCGCAGGCTGTTGCGTCGCCATTCCACATGGCGTGCGAGCGGCAATCGGCAGAGATGGTCGACATCTTCCTGGAGTTGGGTGCGGCGAGCATCGAGATGGCCGACCCGCACGGCGCGACGCCGCTCCTCGTGGCCGTCGCCGCGGCCGCCTCCAACCACGCCTTCGTGCAGCATCTGCTGGGCCTCGGGGCCAACCCGCACGCCGCCTACGGCAATGGACGCAATGCCCTCAGTTGCGTGCTACAGGTACTGTCGTGTCGTGTCGTGTCGTTGTGTGTCGTGCGCCGTCTGTTAATCCTTGGCTTTGAGTTACTTGGCCTACATGCAGAGTCGGCCAACGGAGGAAAAGATGAAGATCATGTCGACACTCATTGATGTGGTTGGACCCGTGGAGGGTCGCCTGGAACTCATCGAGGTTAGTCGTGTGTCGTGTCGTGTCGTGTCGTGTGCCCTGTGTGCCATGGAAAACTAATATCACCACACAACAGAGAACAGCCGATTACTTCAGCGGCAGCTTCGGGTCACCAGACTCGGCGAGCGACACCGTGCTTATGGAGATGATCGAGCTGCTCCTTGCCCGAGGCGTTGTTCTGCCACCACGCGATAGTGCGCCCATTCCCCTGTGTGTGTCGTGTGTGTCGTGTGTGTATGGGGTGCGTGTGTGTTAACTTTCCAACACGAACTCAACTACTTCAGCCAGCTGCATGCAGAACGCAGCTCGCAGCAGTCCTGAGGTAATCGACTTCCTCCTCTCCAAAGGTTCGTGGTCACAACTGTAACTGTGACGCAGAGACAGCGTAAGTCAGACACCAAACTGTGTGTGTGTGTGGTGCGTGCGTGCGTGCGTGCGGCGTGTGCGGGTGACTCTCCAGGAGTGCATATAGATGCGCGCACGCCAGGGGAGCGGCCCGCCCTACACGAACTCTTATCATGGCGATATGACCGAGAGGCCGTGCTGCCACGTCTTGAGTTCCTGTTCGAGGTGCGTCATTGGGTTGTCATCTGGCGCACGCAACACCGCCCACGCACCCAAGTGTGGCTGACGTCCGGTGGTGGGTCGGGATGGGAGTGCAGCGGGGAGCCGATCCCAACGCCCGAGGATACGAGGAGGAGACCGCGTGCTTTGTTGTGCGAAATGAAAAGGACCTGCTCAGCTTTCTAGTACGTGTGTGTGTGTGTGTGTGTGCGTGCGTGTGTGTGTGTGCGTGTGTGTGTGGCGTGTGTGTGCGTGTGCGCGCGCGCGTGTGTGCGTGAGCTACATCAACTTCACGAAATAAAAATGCTGCACCCAACGCAGGTAGCGCACGGAGCGGACCTCAACCTGACGAACCACCATGGCATGACCCCGCTATTCGATCTGCTGGTCAATCGCATCTACTGGGAGGACCCCGACCCGACCCAAGGATCCTTCGCCGAGTGGGCCGACATGGCACGCCACATGATCCACCGTACGTGTGCGTGTGTGCGTGTGTGCGTGTGAGCGTGTGTGCGTGTGTGTCGTGTGTGTGTCGTGTGTGTGTCGTGCGTGCGTGCGTGCGTGGTTTGAGTGCGTGCGTGCGTGCGTGTGCGTGGTGTCGTCACTTCATCAATTTCCTAATTCATGACCACAGTGGGGGCCGACCCGGCCAAGTGCGTCGAGGCGGAGGGACTGGACCCGTACCGCTGGCTCATGCACACGACGCTCCAGTACAGCGGTGTACCCGCGAAAATCACGCCCGAGTGGCTGGCGCTGGTGGCCGAGCTGGGCGTGCCCATCGACACTGAGTCACCGCTGCCGCCTCCCGGTCCGCGGTCTCCCGATGCCGACGCCGACGCCCCAGAAGTAACCGGCAGCGAGCAGTAAAGCAAAAGAACGAAACGAAGGAAAAGCAGAAGCTGGAGCTGTCGGCAGAGAGAAGGAGTTGTTTCATCGAAACTAATAAATATTTGAAATTGTTTAACATTTTGCTGCAAAAATTTTGTTTTAGTTATCACCTTGTCAAAAAGATGGAAGCAGGAGCGCCGACTGTGCGGTGGCAGACGCTGGAGTGGCCGGCTGGTCCGAAGTTCCCGCCAGCCTACAAGCCGCACGGGGTGAAGCTCATCTACGACGGCGAGCCGGTCGACCTCACCCCCGACCAGGAGGAGGTGGCCTCCTTCTACGCCAGCCTTCTCGACGTACTCGCCCCCCCCCCGAAAACATCACCCCACTTTTGTGTGCGTGTCGTGTGTGCGTGTGCGATGCCTAAAACAGACATTGTGTTGTGTCGGGTCGTGTCGTGCGGTGCTGCGTAGACGGTCAATGTTCACAACGAGGTCTTCAACAAGAACTTCTTCAGAGACTTCCGTGAGGTGCTCAGATCAACGCCGTCCACCCACGCGCGCGTGGCTCGGCTCGACCTGTGCGACTTTGGCCCCATTCACGCGCACCTCGCTCAGCAGCGCGAGACGCGATGCCAGGCCCGCGCCGACCCGAGGAACGGGAGGCGCTCAAGGCCGAGCGCGAGAGCGAGCGGCAGCGCCACGGCGTGGCCCTGGTCGATGGCGAGCCGGCGCCGGTGGCCAACTGGCAGATCGAGCCGCCGGGCCTGTTCCGCGGCCGCGGGCAGCACCCGCAGGCCGGGCGGCTCAAGCCCCGCGTCATGCCCGAATCGATCACGCTCAACCTGGGCCGAGGCGTCGACCCGCCGCAGCCCGGCGGCGGCGACGGGGCCATGGCGGGCCGCGAGTGGGGTGCGGTGGTGCACGACCAGAGCGTGACGTGGCTGGCCCGGTGGCGCGACCACGTCACAGGCCTCGACAAGTTCATCTTCATGTCGCCCACGGCCGCGTCGTCCCAGACACGAGAGCGCGAGCGATTCGAGGCGGCGCGGCAGCTCAACGCGCACATTGAAGCCATCAGGGAGGCCTACATGGAGGACCTCAACGCCGACGACGAGCGTCGGTGGCAGTGCGCCACGGCCCTGTGGCTGATCGACCACGCCGGGCTGCGCGTGGGCAGTGAGAAGGCCGACGAGTCGGAAGCTTCCTCGGTCGGCTGCTGCTCGCTGCGCGTCGAGCACGTGCGGTGCGACGAGGCCACGAGCACCGTCCTATTTTGACTTTCTGGGCAAGGACTCGCTGAGGTACCGCAACGCGATCGAGGTGCCGCCGCTGGTGTTTGCCCGGCTGCAGCGACTGGTGGTCGGCGATAAACGGAGCACGGACGACGTGTTCGACCGGCTGAGCGCGACCGACGTCACGACCCGCCTCACGGAGCTGATGCCGGGACTCACCGCCTCGCGCTTGCGGATCTTCAACAACTCGTCGCTCCTGCAACACGAGCTGAGCAGGCCTCTGCCACCTGGCACGCTGTCAGTCGCAGAAAAGGTTGACCCACACGCGACACACACCGCATGCCACGCGACACAACACAACACGCGCGCTGTGTTGACTTGTTATGTCCTGAACAGTTGTTGCACTACAACGAGGCCAACCGCCGAGTGGCGATCCAGACCCATCGGGCCGCACAGGGAGGGCTCAGCACAGGGGGCATGATGATGCACTACATGGACCCGCGCATCACGGTGGCTTGGGCCAAGAGACACGATGTAAACTCGCCCCGGCCCCCTCTCCTCTCGTACTGAGCAACTAACGCATCAACCAAACAGGTGCCCATCGAGAAGATTTGGGGCAAGTGCACGCGAGAAAAGATGGCCTGGGCGCTGGATGAGGCCTCCTCCTTTGCGTTTTGATGTTTTGTATTAATGGCCCTCACATCCTCACATACAGAACCTGCATACAGGCTTGAGGCCATACAGGCTTCTTTGTTGTTAAGGGCAAGAACAAGAACGTCAACTCCAGCCCTGGTGGAGAGCACAAAGCAGTTGAAGGGGAGGAGCAAAGGCTCCATGATCTGCTTGTTGAGAAGAGCAAGCATAATGCTCTTCTCAACAAGTGTCTGCAGCTTCTTGGTTCTCCACACACAGCTGCCCTCGTGAGACTTGTCTCCCATTCGTGCTCCCGGTACCAATGGGAACGAGCCAAAACACTGCAATCATGTTTTCAGTGCAGAGAACTACAGTCGAGGCGTTTTCGCTCCAGTGCGAGTTGGTTCTTTTCTCTTTTTTTTTCCTGGCGTGTGTGGCCAACATGAACCTGCTGACACGGGTCATGGCGGCGGAGGAGGACCACATCGAAGAGGCGCTGCTTTACCACCTGCGCCTCTACAATGTCGCCCGAAAACAACACGACCTGCCCATCATGGGCCAGCCGGACTTTAGAGATGAAGCCCAAGCGCAGGCGCTGCTCGATCGGTTGTTCCTGCCGTGCCTGCCCTTCGGTGAGCGGGTGGCCGACACCGAGTGGTCGACGAGCCGTCTGTTCGGGTGGTTCTTTCTCGAGGAGAGTGCCAACGGCGGCCTCGCATTCCTCGACTTTGACGGTCCTCTGCCGCCCGAAGCGCAGGAATGTGAAACATTCTTCAACGCGGCTGCGACGGCGCGGGACAAGGAGAGCCTGTTCGTGGTCCTTGCGCCGCTCGTGTTAAGTCGCTTCATCGCAGATGGTACCGAACCGGTGTCGGGGTTGTTCATGTTTCGCGGGCGCTCTCTGTGGCATCGGCTCGGCCAGGCCTGCACGCGCCACACCCACTGGCCAAGCGCTCGGACCGAACTGGTGCTCCTCACTCTCTTGCGCTTCATCCATGCTCTATGGTGGCGGCAGAAGTACGTTTTTTATTTTATTTTATTTTTCCACGCCATTGTATGATCTATTAATATTGTTATATTATCGTCATTTTTGGTTTTGTTTTTCTTCTCCACTTATTGTCCACCACAGGCAACATCCCGGAGACGACGGTCGAGCTACTAGCGAGTGTTGTTCTGGGGAGCAGCAACCAGCAGGTGCTTTTGGGTGCGCGACTGACGTACATTCGACGACAGATCTGCTTGAAGTGGACTCATGGTGGTGGTGGGTTATCTCTCGTGGCTGCTCCGCGTGCCGCGCTCTTGATAGCGGGCCTGGAGCTGGTCAGGGAACTGGTCACCGGAGGCAGCGGAAATGACTCTGGCGCGTCTGAGCTCTATCCCGAAGGCGGAGGCCGCAAGGTACGACAGCGCTCAATCAACATCAGCACATTTTTCTTGTTTTCTTCCTTCATCTTGATGCTCTTCTCCAGCTCGGCCTGCGCCTGTTGTCGCTGAGCGATCGCGGCGGCGCACCATCTGAGGTGCGCGAGCTCGCCATCGACTGCCTGCACCCCGCCAACATCAGCCCTGACTTCGAGCTGCGCGGCGAATACCTCAACGTACGTCGCATCCCCGTAGTCAGACTCAATTGTTGGTCGTTGATTGTCGCTTTCGCTTTCGCTAACGGCCAACCAACAAACCAAACAAAATCAACAGCGTTTGTGGGATGTGTGCCGCAACTGCGCCCACGAACCGAACGCCGTGCGGGTGTCTGCGCTGAAACAGCTCACGGTCTTCCACCGCCGCAATGAGGGCGAGCCCTTCGCCACGGATCACCTGGACGTGATCTTGTCGATCCTCACCCACGTACACCCCGAACGACACACGACACCGACACGACACGACCAACGACACGACCAACGACACGACCAACGACACGACCAACGACACGACACGACACGACACGACCACGACACGACACGACACGACCAACGACACGACACGACCAACGACACGACACACAGCGACACGAGCGTAGTCTCTCACCACCAGTTGCCCAAACAGGAAGACAAAGCAGCGCAGCGCACTGCTTCCTACTTGCTGGACTCCTACTTGTCGCAACCTGGCGCCTCGATCACAGCCGAACTCTTGCCAAGGTTTGGCGCCTCACCAGGACACACACGCACACACGCACCATCGCACACCCTCCTCACCTTTTTTTTCTATCAACAGGATCGTCTCGGTGCTGATCGCCAACACGCTGCTGAGCAAACCGGGCGTGCCGCCGCTCGTCGGCCTGTGCCTGGATCACTGGGTGGAGCACTCCGCCGCGCTCGAGGGCTTCCTCGCGCGGCTACCGGCGGACCTGAGCGCCAAGCTCGCCAACCATCACAAAGGTATTTTTGTTTTTTTAATGTCAATATATATATAATTATATTGTTTAATAACAATTATAATGTAATTATTACAACATTAATTGTGAATGAATGCGTGTGTGCGCACAGACGCGCAGCGCGGGGATGTAGCGAGTCGAGAGGAGAGCGAGGCCGTGCGCGAAGTGAGCGCCATGTGCCTGGAGCGGATGGCCGCCGACCAGCCGGAGCAGGTGGTGGCGGAGGTGTGGCAACAAGTGGGTCCCACGCTGCGCCGTGACTCCCCCTGGCAGATCAGGTCAGCTAACCCCAACCCCTCCAATTCTCCACCAACGTAACGCTAAACGAAAACGACGAAAACGAAAAACGAAAACGAAAAAACAGAGAGCGCGCGTTCACGCTTCTGGGCGTGCTGGCCCAGGTCGCACCGGGCCGAACCGACCACTTGGTTGCGCCTCACATGGAGCTTCTCATTCAGTCGCTGGCCGATCCTGTGGTCCGCACACGCCACACACACGACACACGACACACGACACACGACACACGACACACGACACACGACACACGACACACGACACACAGACACACAGACACACGACACACGACACACGACACACAATGCGGATTGATTTGTTGTTAAACTTGATGACGATTTGTCTACAACACAGGCCGAGGTGAGGGCGACCAGTGCCTGGACCCTCGTGTTCTACGTCCGATTGGTGGCGGACGGCCGCCTGCCGGCGATCGTCGAGGCGCTGCTGGCGATGGCCAGGCGCGACGACGCCAAGTCCTGCCAAGCCGCCACCAGCGCGCTGGTCGACCTCCTGATGATTACCCCGCCGCTGCTGGACGAAGAAACGCAGACGACGATCGTCAGAGAGGGGCTCGCCATATGGGACAATCCACCTGTACTCACACCGCACACACAACCGCACACGGCCGCACACACAACCGCACACACCGCACGTACCGCACTCACTCAAGCGGCGTGCGTCGTGTGTGTGTCGCGACACGCAGAGCCAGAAGGCGGGCCAGCGGGTGCTCGACGTGTTTTCTGCGTGGGTGAGGTACGGGTCGGCGGGCGAGCAGAGCCGCGCCGAGCTCGTGCCCGCGCTGATGGACGTCTGCTGGCCCAGCCCAGCACGCTCGAGATGCAAACCGGCATCTTCCACATCTTTGCCAACTTGGCCGACCAAGGCACGTGTTGCGCGGTGTGTGCGGTGTGTGCGGTTGCGCGTGTGCGGTTCATAATGATGTGTTTGTTTGGGCGTACACACAGGCAACATTCCGGCGTCGTTGGTCGCAGAGGTGGTGAACGCGTGCGTGAGCCCCATCGGAGACCACGTCCAGCAGGGCGACGACGACCAGGAGCTCCCTACTTACCGGCTGCGCTGGGCGCTTCGAGTCCTGAGCACTCTCAGCCGAGACCCCAGGGGCTACGATCTGTCAGTCCTCGTGGCTTCGCCTGACCTCTTCGTCGACGAACTCATCAAGCCGGGGCTGAAAGTATGCGTGTGCCGTGCCGTGTGTGTCGTGTGTGTCGTGTGCGGTGGCAAATGCCGACGAGGGTGTGACCGCGTGTGCAGATCCTGACGGTGGAGACACTGGAGGACTGCTTCACCGTGCTCGACCACGTTATCGAGCATTGGCCCCAGGCGCTCGCACCCAGGCACAGCCAGCTCACGCCCTCCCTGTTCAACTTCGTGCTTCGCCTGCCCCACCCGCGCGCCACCCTATTCCCCCTCTTAGGTTCGCTCCACACACGACACAACACGACACAGCACAACAATACGACACACGACACGCACGCACAACGACACGCACGGCTCAGCAGTCATTTTGTTTGGACCACAGTTCGGATGGGGCTGGCCTATGCCACGCCTGAGAGCCGGCCACTGTCCGACTACGTCTCGGCCGACACGTTGGCCGCGCTGCCGTTGGGCGTGCTGCTGGCCTGGGCCGACGTCCTGCTGCCCGACAGCCCGAGCGAACTGCTCCGCGGCCTCGCCCGCCAGCCCGAGTCCAGCGCGGACGACACGGACGACACACGCGACACGCAACACGCGGCGCAGCTGGTCCAAGCGCACGCGCGGGTAATTGTCGAGCTCTTGACCACGCATGCTGGCGACTTGCCCGACACGTTTGGCGCACGCGAGCGCGCGGCAATGCTGCGCGTGTTCTGTCACCACCACCACGCCACCAACCAACCGACATCGGACCTGGCGACGAGGGCGCTCGAGCTGCTGCTTGCCGGGGACGGCGAGGCCGTGGCAGCGGAGCTCATAGCAACCCTGCCAGCGGCGGAGCGCAGCGCTCTCGCGCTCACCGCGCAGCAGCTGATGCCAGTCGGCCACGCCTTCTCTCGCTTGCTCGCCTAATAAGAGTTGCCTCAGTGCTGTGCAGTGTTGTAGAAGTCTTTTTATCAAAAGTGTGAAGCATTGTGGTGTGTGTGTGCGTGTGTTATAATTGATGGTGGTGATGGTGATGATGATGATGGAGTGGGGTTGGATCAGAGAGGCTGGCAGAAGAAGCCATTGAAGGGCGCCAGCCTCTTCTGGAAGCCCTGGCCCGAAAGCGTGGAGACCACCGTAATGCCCTCCTGATGCGGTTGAAAGAAGACAAGTCAGACTCTGCTGGTGCGTGCGTGCGTGCGTGCGTGCGTGCGGTGCGGTCTAAAAATGTGAGGCCTGTGTGCGCACTTGTTCGGCGTTGGAGATGGTGAGGCTGCTGTTGGGAGCGAGCAGCGAGCCGAAGAGCTGGAACTGCGACAGGGTGACGTCCAGCGAGTCGCACACGTTCCACAGCAACTGCTCCGACCTCAGCCGGCCCCGCTGGATCGCCGCGCTCCTGAAGCTCGCCGTCGTATCGTTGGGCGAACCCTGCAACGTCAACCACGCCCCCAGCGCGTCAGCGTGACGTGGCATCCAGCCAAAAAGAACGAAGAACGAAGGGCGTCAGAAAGAGCGAAGCGAAGCTGTTGCGTACCTGAATGTTAACGACGATGGGGGCCGTGAAATTGGCGGCAAAGTCGAAGACGATCGAGGCGGCGCGGCTCAGGTCGGCCGACCGCACGCAGAAGATCTGGGTCGAGTTGGCCCCCGCGGCGCCCGTGAATCGGAGCTCGTTGGCCTGACCCAGCGTCACATCTGATTTGTGTCATCGCACCGCACACACGACACACGACACACGCGCACCGCACACGGTGAGTGATTGGCCACTGTGATTGTCTTGAGAGAACGAGGGGGTGTACGCACTGGTGCAGTTGAGTGCGCACACGGCCTGGTTGACGCCCGTGAGGAAGCTGGTGGCGCTGGCGAAGTCGATGCCCGAGATGCTGACGTCGACGCCGGACACGAGGTTGGCGCCCTCATTGACCTGCCGGAACGTGAGCGGGTTGGTCACGTTGCCGCCCACCAGCGCGCTGCCGCAGAACAGCTCTCCATTCGTTGCATTCTTCACACCCAACACGACACACGACACACGACACGACACACGAACGTTAGAATGACTGTGAAGAATGGGAAGAATGGGAAGATGAGGCCGCACGAGGTCGTTCTGGACGATAAAGTTGAAGTTGGTGGCGTTGGCCGCGGTGCAGTTGAGGCTGTTGCCGATGCCAAAGTCGTTCAGCCGTGCACCGCTGTTGACCGCCACCCGACCCGCGAACTGGCCGTTGACCACGTTCAGTCCGGTTGTCACGTTCTGGTCGCCTGTTCCTGTGCGTGTGCGGTGGTGCGTGTGCGGTGGTGCGTGTGCGGTGGTGCGTGTGCGGTGGTGCGTGTCAGTTTGATTCGCAGAGAGCGGAGAGGGAGGAGAGACTGTACCGAGGACAAAGAGATCGAAGGCCTGGGCCGCGCCGAAGAGGGCGTTGGTGCAGTTGCCGGCGCCCACCACGTTGTTGCTCGGAGGCGAGGGCGACGCGGACGCCGTCGGCGAAACCGAAGGCGAAGCAGACTGCGTGGGCGACGCCGACTGTGTGGGCGAGACCGAGGGCGATCCGGAGATCGACGGCGATGCCGATTGCGTAGGCGACACCGAGGGCGACAGGGTGGGCGAGACCGAGGGCGAGCGCGACACAGAGGGTGAGCCGGAGAGCGATGGACTGGGGGAGATCGAGGGCGAGGGCGAGGCCGACTGTGTGGGCGAGACCGAGGGCGAAAGGGTGGGCGACACTGACGGCGAGCCCGATAGCGACGGCGTGGCCGAGATCGAGGGCGAGCGCGATGCAGAGGGCGATCCCGACAGCGACGGAGTGGCTGAGAGCGAGGGCGAGGGCGAGGGCGAGAGCGACGCGGAGGGCGAAGCCGAGACACCGGCTGAGGGCGAAGCGGAAATCGACGGCGACAGCGAGGCTGTGGGCGACGCCGAGAGCGAGGGCGACGCCGAGATGGACGGGGAGGCTGACAGTGAAGGCGACGGCAAGCCAGACACCGAGGGCGACGCCGACAGCAATGCGGAGGGCGATGCCGAAAGCGATGCGGAGGGCGAAGCCGAGGCTGAGGCGCCGGCAGAGGGCGAGGCCGAGAGCGAGGCAGAGGGCGAGGCCGAGAGCGAGGCAGAGGGCGAGGCCGAGAGCGAGGCAGAGGGCGAGGCCGACAGAGACGCGGAGGGCGAAGCCGATGGCGAGGCCCCGGCAGAGGGCGACGGCGATGCCGAGGCGCCCGCAGAGGGTGATGCGGCGGGTGAGGGCGAGGCCGTGGCCGACGGGATGGGCGTGCCGACGATGGTCGGGCTGGCCGAGGGGGTGGCGCCGGCAGAGGGCGAGGGCGAGGCGAAGGCGGCACCAGGCAGATCTCGCCGATGAAGGGCGCCAACAGCTTCTGGAAGCTGCTGCCGGTGAAGTTGAGCGCCACCGTCGTACCGATCTGCACAAGAGCCGACACCAGTGAGCGTTGAGTGGCACACGACACACACGACACACACGACACGAACCTGCTGGGCGTTGATGAGGGACACGTTGGAGAGGGGCGCCAGGAGAGATCCGAACAGCTGGAAAGCGAAGATGTCGACGCGGGTGGCATTGCACACATTCCACAAGACCTGGGTCGCGTTCAGGTTACCCGCCGAGATCGCGGCGTTGGCGAACCGCACGTCCTCCGATCCCTGTGGTGCAAGGAGGAATGTCAAGCATGCCGCAGGTATGCATGTACATGTGGAATGTTCAGAGTGTGGCCGCATACCAGAATGTTGACGACGATGGCGCCGGAGAAGTTGGCAGGGAATCCAGCGAATTCAAAGAATGTAGCGTTGGCGATGAGGGAGGAGTTGAGGCAGAAGACCTGCGCGCGGCCCGCGTTGGTGACGTTGTCCCAGCGGAGGGAGACGATACCGAAGGCGTCGATCTCGGCCTGGGTGCAGTTGTCGGCGAAGGCCTCGCACAGCTGGCGGTTGATGCGGGTAAGGTTGTCGGCTGATTCGGTGAAGTCGAGCGTCGACAGCGTCAACAGGTCGCCCTGCGTCACGTTCGCGCCTACCGCCACACAGTTGAAAATCGTTGAGACACACGGAACACACGCACACACACACACACACCACACACACACCACACACACGGTGCATTACCTTGGTTGATTTGGCGCAGTGAAGGAGCAGATTGAATCGAGCCATTCACGAGGGCGCTGCCGCAGAAGATTTCGCCATTGGTCGCCGACTACAGATTTCCATCGAAAGAGTGTATGTAAGTAATGCAAAGAATGTGTTAAGAAAAAGGGGAGGAAATAAGGTACCAGGTTGCCCTGGACGATGAGGTTGAACGCGCTCGAGTCGTTGGCGGCGCACACCAGCTCGGCGCCCATACCGAAGCTCGACAGGCGCGCATTGCCGTTGACCGCCACCCTTCCGCCGAACTGACCGTTACGGGCCGTCAGGGCGTCGCCCTGGCCTGTGATTGGAGGGTGGGTGAGCGGCGACACGCCGACACTTTATATGTCGGCAGCCAATGGGAGGAAAGAAGGATTGATGTTGAACGAACCGAGAACGAACGTGTCGAAGTCGGCGGCGCCGTCGAGCGCCTTGATCGGTGACGAGCAGTTGCCGCCGATGATGGGCGGCTGCGGGGTGGGCGAGCCCACGATGGGCGGGCTGGCCGTGGGCGAAGCCGCGGCAGAGGGTGAAGCCGAGGCCGACGGCGACGCGGAGGCCGAAGCGGCGGGCGAAGCCGAGGCACTGGCGCCGGGCGAGGCCGAGGCCGAGGCAGCAGCGGAGGGCGAAGCCGAAGCCGAGGCCGAAGCCGCGGCAGAGGGAGAAGCCGAGGCTGACGGCGACGCGGAGGCCGAAGCGGCGGGCGAAGCCGAGGCACTGGCGCCGGGCGAGGCCGAGGCCGAGGCAGCAGCGGAGGGCGAAGCCGAAGCGGCCGCAGAGGGCGAAGCAGAAGCCGATGGCGAAGCGGCCGCTGAGGGCGAGGCCGAGGCGCTGGCGGCGGGCGACGCTGAAGCCGAGGCAGCCGCAGAGGGTGAGGCCGAGGGTGAGGCAGAGGCAGCCGCAGAAGGTGAAGCCGAGGCTGACGCGCTGGCGGCCGGCGATGCCGAAGCCGAAGCCGAAGCGGCCGCAGAAGGCGAAGCAGAGGCCGACGCAGCCGCCGAGGGCGAAGCGGACCGGGATGCCGACGGTGATGACGTGGCAGAGACCGAGGGAGAAGCCGAAGCGGCGGCAGAGGGTGAAGCCGAAGCCGAGGGCGAAGCAGCCGCCGAGGGAGACCCCGAGGGCGAAGCGGAAGCCGACGGTGATGACGTGGCAGAGACCGAGGGTGAAGGTGACGCCGAGACGGCAGCCGAAGGCGAAGCGGAGGCCGAGGCCGAGGGGGAGGCCGATGGGGAGGCCGACGGGATGGGCGAAGGCGAGCCCGAGAGGCAGAAGAATCCGGAGAAGAGACTCTGGAATTTCTGGAATCCGTTGGCCGTCAACGAGCGACCCACAGTAATGCCCGTCTGTGTTGCGTGTGGTGCGTCGTATGCGTGTGGAGGTGGTGAGTCATGAAGAGACGCACGGCGCTAAGGAAATAGGTTGTGGTTGGTGAGGGGGCGTACCTGTTGCGCGTTGGTGATGTTGATAGAGGAGGCGGGCGCCAGGAGGGACCCGAAGAGGGTGAAGGCCGACAGGCGCACGTTGAGCCCATTGCACACATTCCACACGATTTGGGTGGGCTTCACATTGCCCAGGTTCGTCGCCGCGTTCGACAGCGTCACCGTCTCACCAGCCGATCCCTGTGTGGTGCGTCGTTTAGTTCCAATGCACGACACACACACACACACGACACACACACAAGACACGCAGCAATCTGGGGGACATGTACCAGGATGTTGATGGCCAGCGCGCCGGCAAAGTCGACCGGGAAGTTGGTGAAGCGGAACGAGGTGGCCCGCGAGGCATCGGCCGCGTTGAGGCAGTACACGTTGGTGGTGTTGTCAAAGTCGAACGTCACCGCTCCCGAGCCCGTGATCGCCGCCTCTGTGTTAGTGTAAGTAAATGTTAAGTAGTGTGTGACGTGTGGCGTGTGGCGTGTGTGCGCGGTGTGTGCCGAACGTACGCTTGCAGGTGAGGCTGCAGATCTGTTGGTTGGTGAAGAGCAGCGAACTGAAGCTCTGATCAAAGTCCACAGCGGCCATCGACGCAGAGCCGCTCACCACGCCGGCGCCCTGGGCCTCCTGGCGGAAGTTGGGGGCGCTCACGACGGTGCCGGTCACCAGGGCGCTGCCGCACGCGACTTGGCCGTTGACCGACGTCTGCGATAAAAGGAAATTAGATATTTGCACTGCAACAAACTAAATTAAGTTGTGCCCTTAGCCAGGTGGCCCGTACCAGGTTTCCGTTAACGATGAGGTTGAAGTTCCTGGCATCGGCGTTGGTGCATGGCAGGGCATTGGCGATACCGAACTGGGTCAAACTGTACAGTCGCACAGGCAACGATGTCAGTCTTTGTATGAGTGTTGTGTTGTGTTGTTGTGTTGTGTTGTGGACGTACTTGGCGTTGCCGCTGATTGCAACACGACCACCGAACTGGCCGTTCTGGATGGTAGCGCTTCCTGCGTACGTTTCAAATCAATGGTGAGGGACAGTGACAGTGGCACAGAGTGAGAAGGGCCAAGCCACATACCGAAGAGGAAGGTGTCGAAGGACTGGGCGCCGTTGAAGAGGGCTGTGGTGCAGTTGCCTGGCCCAATGACGGGCGAGCCCACGACCGTGGGCGATGGCGAGGCCGATGCCGACGGTGAAGCCGTGGGCGATGGCGAGGCCGATGCCGACGCCGATGCCGAAGCAGAGGGCGAGGCTGACCTGCTCGGCGAACCCGAAGCCGACACTGACGGCGAGGCCGACCTGCTCGGCGACGCCGACGCCGAAGCGGAAGCGGAAGCCGAAGCCGAAGCCGACACAGAAGGCGAGGGCGAGGCTGAGGCCGATGCCGAAGGCGAAGGGGACCTGCTGGCGGCCGGCGAAGCCGACGCGGATGCAGAAGGCGACGGCAGCCTGCTGGCCGATGCGGAAGCCGAAGCAGAGGGCACTGTAGAAGCCGAAGCCGAAGCGGAGGCCGCGGCCGAGGGCGAGGGCGAGCGACTGGCCGACGCCGAGGCCGACGCTGAGGCCGACGGGTTCAGCGCTGCGCTGGGCGACTGGGCAGCTGTAATTCACACCACCGAAACAAGCATTCAGTTGCGAGGTATGAGAGGTGTGTTGAGGAGTGGGCACACGTACAGGCCAGGGCAGCCAACGAGAAGAGGAGGAGCATGCCCCAGAACGGGGCTGAGACTCTGTGTCGGCTCCGCGACATCATGATCGAGGAGGAGCGAGTGTGGTGATGACTGGTGGTCGGTCAGGTGTGCGACTGTGTGCGGCATTGGCCCATTTTATACGGGGCTAGCTCACCGCCACCAATTAGGTCCAGTGGCGGCCCACATTTCGGCCACTTCCCTCCTGAGATTGGAGTCAGTCAGCCCTGTCCCCTTTATCGCCGGCGTACGGGCTTGCCGAAAGGCAGAAGGGGCGTGAAAGAGAGTACCCACCTGTAGAGGGAGATCGTGCGGCCTGTAAGCGCACCAGACCAATGAGGCCGAACTCCAAGCCAGCCACCCGGCCAGGGTGGCCGAAATTCTCTGGTTTCGGCCAAAGCACTGTAAGCAAAACAGGCTAGACAGGTCAGAGAGGTGCCATGACGAGGTTAGTGTGGAAACCAACCCTTTGGCAGGTAAAAACTCACATTCCTCAGGCTATGGAAAGAGGGCATGAACCTTGACGACATGTCGGTAGAAGCTTGTCAAAACGAAGATGTAAAAAGATATGCATCCGCCGGGAATTGAACCCGGGTCTCCCGCGTGGCAGGCGGAAATCTTGCCACTGGACCACGGATGCTTTGCTTGCCTGAATAAAAATTCAGGGCTCTTGCCACTGGGCCAGACACGCTTCTCTTACGAAAAATCAAATCGCTTTTTCGGTGCAAAGAGGTACCAGAGGGTAGTAAGGGTAGCTCTTTGCTCAACCTGGACTGTCGCGAGCGCAGAAGATCTAGAGCTTCCGCAAGCTTCAATTCGGTGGGCGTCTGTTGAGGCAGTTGGGGCAGAAGAAAATGATAAATGGCAGAAGAAATTGCTTGTTAGAAATGCGAGGAAAACCTGTTGGGACCTTGCGGACTGTTGGGCCGGCGCTGAAGATCTTTACAGTTTCGAGCGGAGACAAAGACTTCAAAGAGAGGAGGGCACGCGTGCACGATCATGTACGGAAGGAGTGCAGTGGCGGGGCGTGCCGGCAGCATCAAGATCTTGCGAGCGAATTGTGCGCAGCAGTTTCGCTTTTTCACGACGAATGGTAGCGGTTCTGCATCTGCACTGCGCCTCATCATTATAGGCCCACCCGTACCTCCCCCATGCCTCTACCATCTTCGCAATTCCTTTCTTTTCTGTGCTCACGGTTCGCATTTTTCTGTTTTGACCGTTTTTTACCAATCCACCGCTCCCTCGCGGCTCTCTGACCGTACAACCAGGGCGGCGGTACAACTACCTTTATCTTTTTTGTTCTTTTTACTTATCATCTAATACTCGAATAAATAATAATATATTTTTTTCCTTTTTTTAAAATACAAGGCAAGGGCACGCAGGCGGAGCGTATCGAGCGCGACTACGGCCTGTCGCAGATCTCCACCGGGCAGCTGCTGCGGGCCGAGCGGGACAAGAAGACCCCGTTGGGCCTGGTCATCGAGGAGAAGCTCACCAAGGGCGAACTCGTCGCCGATGACCTCATGCTCGACCTCGTCAACAACGCCGTAGCTTCCCACACTAACCCCAAGGTAAGCCGTGTGTCGTGTGTCGTGTGTGTGTGGTGCGTGCGTGCGTGAGTGCGGTGGGTGCGCGTGTGCGGCGACATTGGCTGGTCGGGCTCAGGGACTCAGCGATCGTTTATTTTCAAGTTAATCCTATTTCGTGCCGTGGGGGCGGCGTGCGTGTGCGTGATGGGCGGGTTGGCAGGGCTGGCTGCTCGACGGCTTCCCGCGCACGACCGCGCAGGCCCAGATGCTGAAGAACCTGCTCGACCAGATCGCGAAGCCAATCACCGGCGTGCTGTACATTAATGTCGACAAGAACGTCATCGCCGAGCGGCTCAAGGGTCCGTAGGGTCCCACTCACGTCGAGCTCAGCCTTGGAAACAAACTGAACCAGGCCACTAACTGATGCGTGCGCGGCCGTGTTTGTGTGCGCGTGCGTGTGTGCGTGTGTGTGTGTGTGTGTGTGCAGACCGTTACATTCATCCGGGCAGTGGGAGAACTTATAACCTGCAGTACAATCCGCCCAAGGTGGCCGGCAAGGACGACGTCACCGGCGAACCCCTCGTCCAACGCGAGGACGACAAACCCGTACGCCCCGGGTCCTCGTGTGGAATTGCGCACACATTCCTTGCCTTCCTGGCATCGCTCAAATGTTCAATGTTGTCGACACACCACGATGCGTGTGCGTGCTCGTGTCTCTGCGTGTGTGCGTTGTGGCGCGCGGGTTGCAGGAAACGGTTCTCTCTCGGCTCACAGTGTACGAGGAGAAGACGCGTCCGGTGTTGGACTACTACGCGCAGACGGGCCTCCTGCACACCATCGACTCGCCCAACTCCGACGTCGGCTACGAGCGGATCAAGAAGCTGATGGACCAGCTCCTCCGACAGTGACGACACCACTTTGCCCTGTCCGCACCCACTTCTCGTACGTGCGCCGCTCTCCTCTGTTGTGTGTGTGTGTGTGTGGTGTGTGTGCGCGCGTGCGTGTCCGGTGGTTCATCGAATGCGCCGTCATCTTATCTGTCCGTGCGTCGGGCACGTGTGGTTGGTTGTGTGGCTTTGCGAACTGATTGGACGCGAGCTGACAGCAGTGTATGCCACGCGCAGCTCAACACAACTCCCGTCCACCGACCACCCGCCGGCCCACCTGCGCTGTGCGCTTGGCGTTGCGACCGCCGCAACCTCGCACGCTCGCTGGCCGCCCAACCGAAGGAGATAAACGCGGTCACACTTGTCACGCCCCATCATCATCAAGCACGCGGCTCCTGTTGCGGGAGGGAAGAAACCCACCGGTGGGTGAGCCAGTGTCCCTGGACTTGGTTGCCGGCTCAACTTACGCGCCACCCCAAAGTCCGCCACCCAACCGCCGCCACCCTGCTAAAAGCACACTCCGGCGCGTGGCGTTGGTTGGCCACAAGGACGTGGTCGGCTCGCGCACGGCGGTCGGTTGGCCAACGGCGGCCCCGTTCTGCCTTTCCTTCAGGCCAGGAACAGCGGCGGTCGTCTTCATCGGCGCAGAAGTTCGCGACCACCTGGCCCTCGGCGCCGGCGTCCACGGCCACGGTGCTGTCGAGCAGGTCCGGAGTAAGTTGGCGGAGCCAATCGGCGGACGTTGTCAAGGGATACGCTGTTGCCGATTGGCCGAAAATCACCAATTGACCGAAGCAGCGAGCACACCGCCGTACCAACGGCCAAGTGATCGGAGTCACAGTCACCCATTGGTCCGGCTACTGTTGCCCCGGCCACAAACCAGTAGTAGTAGGACGCACTCCGCATGGTCCATTAACGCGGTAGGCAACGTCCAGAGAAGAAAAGCGCGAGGCCGAAGTGTTAGTCTTTGTTTCTCGCCTCGTTCAGCTCAGACGACCTAACAGTCGTGTGCCATCGCACCGCACACGCACGACACCACCATAAACTACCGAAGCCTCTCGGCACCGCACACACCCGGCCACCCAACTCACCGCCATCGGTGTTATTTTATCTATTTTTATTTTTTATAATATTTCGACCAACCACCGCTAAAGGCGCGACCCAAAGAGCTTCTTGTCGACCAGTCGTCGACCCGTCAGTTATTCGTCGACAGCCGACGTGTTCGCCGTCTGCGCCTCGCCATTGGTTCCAAAGCAGGAGCAGAGCTTCCGTTACACCGGTGCCGCAGTGCATCTCGCCTCGCAGCTCGCCAACGAACCCCAAATCCTCGCCTCCCCGCACCCACGCTAATTGCCTCCCCTACCGGCGGCCGCACACAGTGCAGCGCGTCAGCTCTTTCTTTTCTTTTCTTTCTTCCCTCGCCGAGCACACAACACACGCGCACGACGCGCACGTTCGCCGCACGACACACACGCACAAGGATGGCCTTCGCACACTACGTCAAGCTCGAACCGGACAGCCACAACCATCACCACAACCAGCAGCAGCACCAGCAGCACCAGCACCACTACTACTTCGGAGGAAGAGAGACCTCGTCGTCGTCACCCTGGCCGTCTTCACCGCCGCTGCCGGACTTCGCGACCCACGCCGGCGCCGCCGGAGCGAGCCGACCGGCCAGCGCGACGGGCTTCCTCTCCTCGAGCATGAACGTGCGTCGTCGACCCACTCCCACACAACCCACACAAAACTCTTTCGGTTTTCGCTCATTTATTTGTTGTTTTTTTTGCGACTGAACTAATATTTGTGATTTGTCCATATACCGAAACATGTATTAGTAATTTATTTTATAACTCCATATTTCGTTTATGTGTTCGCCGGCTGCCGAACACTTACACTGCACCGCACGGCTAGAAATATGACAAATCAATAGCCAATATATACGAATAGACAAGAAACATGTATAATTATACAGTCGATCGTGTGTAATAACATGTGTTGTGATTGTGTGTCGCGCAGTTCCTCGCCGGCGTCGTTGCGGACCCGACCTCCGGAGCCGCACCGGCGGAGCTTTTCAAACTCCGCGCGCGTGATGCCGATACCGTCCAGTCACTGGTCTCGGTCCTCGCCGCAAGCACCACCACGAGCGCCGGCTCGCCGCCCGATCTTGCCGGAGCAGCGGGCGCGCCGGGCTCCCCGCCGCCTGCGACTCCGCCGCCGCCGAGCCTGTCGAGCAGCCTGAGCCTGACGTCATCGTCGGCCTCGTGTCCGGTCCGGCCTCGAGCCCCGCGGCGGTCGGTCAAAGGCGGCGGTGGCGCCACTTCGCCCGGAGTTGCGCGCCAGCACCACCACCCGACCTCGCCGTATGCCTGGGACCACCAGCACCAGCACCACCATCAACCGGTTGTCCACCACCAGCACCCGCACCAGCACCAGCACCGCGAGCTGTACGGCCAACAGCCGCCAGCACATGCCGGGCACTACCACCCGTACCTCCACGCGCCCGGCGTCGTGCCGGTGGCGCCGTGCCACCACCACCACCCGCAGCAGTTCCCGACACCATCGGCGTACTCGCACGTGAGTGGCCACCACAATTTGTCGACAAATCACCAGCATTCCGGAAATTCCGAGCATTGGCACGGGCACTACGCGGCGCACCAGCACGACCAGTGCGCCGCCACCGGCCGGCCGATGTTCTGGTCGTCGTCGACGGGCGTCGTGACGCGGGCGACGACGCCCATCAGCCGCACGATGTCGGGCGAGGACAGCGAGATCACCAGCGGCGCCACGACCACGTCGGTCGCGGCCACCAGCGCCGCCGTAGCCGCGGCTGCCACCGCGCTCATCCGGGCCCACGCCACCCAGCAGCTGCGTAAGCGACGACGCTCGCAGTCGGCCCCGCCGCCGCGCGACCAGGCCATCATCGTGGCCCGCAACGGGCGACAGGTCCGGCGACAGTGCGACGACGTTGACGACAACAGCAACTACGAGAGCCGAGCGCCGGCGATGGCGCTGACAACAACGTCAAGCGCCGGGACGTCGTCGCCGTACTCGTCGCCGATGGCGGTGTCGTCGCCGCAGAGCTGCGTGGAGCACTGGTACGGGCAGTCGGCCACGACCTCGTCGCCACCGACATCGCCCACGGGCGCCGCCTCACGAACGAGCACCACCAAGCGCTCGGACATCTACGGCCTTCTCAACTGATCAATGGATGATGAGCCCACCATCACAACCACCACCACCCTCCACTCCCCAACTGTGTATCTACGCGCTCAACCCAATAGTCAAGAAGAGTCTTGTAAATATTTATCTAAAAGCTTTTGTCAAATCTTTGCCTTCTAAGATCTCAATGGTGTGGCCTGTCCGTACTTGTCGTGTAACTGTCACAAGAGCCGGGGACGACACTGGGACGCCGGGGGCAAAGGAACCGGCCTAGCCCGCAACCCAACGCGAAAGAGGTACCCGTATAGCAGCTAAAGAGCGCGGGTCCATCATCATCTTCTTGTTCTTCGAAGCCGAGCTTGGCTTCACTAACAAGCCTTGACGCGGTTCCCGCGGGAATAGGGCGCTTGCCTTGTGAGAGCGTGTGCATGAGTACTTCGTGACTACAGGCTGACTCAGCTCGCGGGCAGAACCCCTTAAAAAAGCGCACCGGCGCCAATTGGGCCGGGAGGACAGCTTGCTGTTCACCTGTTCGCCAACAGTGGCAGAGTTCCTGTCACGCCTTTTGACATTCCATTTCTACTTCCTTTCTGGAGCTCCAGCGGCGCCTCCGGGAGACGAGCCCGAACGGCGCCACCATGCCGGTCGCAGGAACAATTGTTCTCACCTGCTGCCTGCTACCCGTTCTAAGCACAGCTGTCCCCTTGTAGGGTGGGTGACTGTGACCCGCAAGCACAACCCAAGAGAGAATGTTGTGTGTGGCCCAGAGATTCAGGTTGTGGGCTGTGGGTCCATCCAAACACCACAACAAGAAATGATGCAAGATGCATCAGATCTGAACATTGTGGGAAGCGTGGTTTTTCGTGTTTTAAAAGCCACCGTGACTAGGTTCGATGCGGATGAGTCGCTGGAGCTTTGCCTTCTCTCTTCCGCGATCGCCGGCGACCATTGCTAGGGCACACTCCCGTTTCCCCGTAGTTCTCCCCTACTTGCACTGCGTGAAGTCGGCTTCTCATTGGCCTTTCTGTTTTTCGTGACTGTCGATTGAGGCCTTTTAATGCTGTACTCTGCATCTTTTCTGGCATTCCTGTTGGTCGGTTTCGGCTGATCACTGCTAATTGTGGAGTAACCGAACGCACGGACTTTCCCTAAGGTTGTCCTTTTTAGTGTTACTTGTCGACCAGTGTCTACAGAAACCTAGCACCGACCAGTAAGCGCAGGCCGATAAAAAGTCTTCCTGGGCGCTTGTTGTCGTTCCGTTGCGTCAGACCCGTCTCCCCGCCGCACCCCAACTACGGCCGAGCTTGTGAGCTTTTGCTGGACACACCGAATGCTCGGGGCCCTGTGCTCGGGCCGGTCTTTCATTCTGCGCACCACTCACCAACACCAGCACAGCTGAGGCCGCACTGCACACAGACCACACACGCTACACGTCACCTCCCTCGACTTTCCTCGTCAAACCGGACCTGCTGAGGGTCCACACCACAACCAACTTCCCCTACCTCTACCTCCCATCAACCACCTCACCTCCATCAGCCACACAAGCACTACTCCTATTTTCAATTCAACCCAACCACCTCACCACCATCAGCACCAGCCCGAAGCCTCAAGTAGCGAACCAACGAACGAAGGCGGCTACGGATTGTTCTACTCGCGCGTAGAAGAAGAAGTAGCGCGAAAAACAAAGTTGTGGAGACCGGCTACGCCCACACAAGAACAAGGAGCTACTACAACCAAAGACTAAAAGCAGGTCAACTTGGAGCAGCAGCTGGCTCTACTTCAAGCAATGAACGTACGGCACAACCCCCTCGCCTGGTGGTCTGTGTGTGTAGATTCGTTGGTGCGGTGATCGCTCCGTCGTTCAGTTTCTCTGTCCAATCGGAGCTGTCCAGCTCATGCGAGTTGGGACAACGCCGGTTGGGTTGACGCAGCAATGAGGCTCACCACAAACTTCTTCATTCCCTCTTCTTCTTCTTCTTCACACAGTCTCTTGCCCAACACGCCAGCCAGATGTTGAGAATGGAAGACCGCAGCGGCCACCACAAGAGCTCGAACACCACGACCACCACGACCACCAACCTCAACAACCCAATCGTGCTTCCCTCCTTGTTCCGTCCACAACCGCCGCCGCCGGTGCCCCAAGGTCAGCACGGAGGCCTCTTCCTGCCGCACCTCACGTTGAGCGCCACGGCCGCCGCCGCCGGAGTGGTACCGACCGCGCAGCAGCTCTACGCGGCCCTCCTCGACATCCAGCTGGCCGCCGCTAGCCACACCCACAGCCACAACAGCTCGTCTTCGTCGTCGACAACGACGACAACGACGACCACCACCTCGTCGGCCATCCTGCTGCCGCCCGGCGCGCTGTCGTCCCAGCTCGCCGCGCAGCTCTCGCAGGCCGTCGCTTCCTCGTCGCCCAAGTCGTCGCTGTCGGCCGCGAAGCGCAACATCAACCACGGCCACCGGAGCCTCGCGGGCAAGCTCGGCTGCGGCGCCCGCAAGCACACCACCACCACCTCGCACTCCCCAACCGCCTCGCCGCAATCGTCGTCGTCGACGCCGAGCTCGAAGCGCGGGAAGAAGACGAGCGGGCGCGTGTGCGCCGAGTGCCGCACGGACAACACGCTCCAGTGGCGCCTGGGTCCCGACGGCCAGGCTTCGCTGTGCAATGCGTGCGGTCAACGCTTCCAGCGGCGGAAGCAGGCCATGGCCCAGAACAGCAACAACGGCAACCAGCACCACCACAAGTCCGAGCCGCACTCGCCCGTCACCTCGCCTTCTCCAGCCTCGTCGCCTCCGAGCCACCACCACATCAAGCGCGAGCCGGTGGCGTCGCCGACACACGCCGGTGGCAGCTGCGGCGAGCGTCGATCGGACATATACTCGCTGCTCAATTGAGGCGAGCTGGGTCCACTTCACATCACCGTTCACGGCCTCATGGTGGCCTCCACCCGTCTGGTCGCCGAGTTTGTACAAACAACATCATCAACCATATAGATAACAGATAACAGATAATAGACATCAAACGCAAAGAAGGGAAGTCGGCCAGGTGTGTTCGGTGTTGTTCTTCTACTTCTTTGGGTTCACCCAGCGACGACCGCAACTGTTCGACAAGAAGGCGCAGAGAAGAGCGCAAAGTGGGTGACCGGTCTGGCGCATGAGACGTCGTGTAGATGGTGAACAAGTTCTTCCCTCGTTGAAGTTCCGGTTGATATGAACTGTACTTCCCAGCCTAGGCAGCCCACTTTTAGGGTTGAGGCCCACGTGTGACCCCGACCAATCACCCGCAAGCCTTTAAGCTTGGCGACAGGAATGTGAGGCAGTCAAATTTTGAATGGAATGCTGCCAAGGAATGTCACAGCCCTGCATCTTGAAATTGAGACAACCATGGGAGCTCCACAGCCAGCTTCTCAAGCTCTCCAGCTACCCACCTTGACACTACCACCACTCCAGATCTTCAGCACTGCTGCACTTCAGCTCAGTCCATAATCTATCTTTCTTCCATCTGTAGTAGCCCCAAAAATCTCGTGTAGTGTCATCTTGCGAGTAGTGATAGATAGTTTAAGGACAAAAGATGAAGAAGGCAGGGCTTACCAGCGAGGACATGGGCCGCGCGGGCGAGGAAAAGCGCGACTGGGTGGCTGTCCAGCAGCGCACCTTCACGCGCTGGGTCAACCAGCAGCTGGCCCGACGGGGCGGCCAGGTCACCGACCTCCTGCAAGATCTGCCCGACGGCATTCACCTCATCCATCTCGTTGAGGAGCTCTCTGGTGCTCTTCTCAAAGGGTACTATAGCCCCCCCCCCATCGTCTTCTCTCTTTTGCGTTGCTTCTTTGTTTTCTTTTTTTGTTCTTGGTGTTATTTGCTTTGTAAAACTTGGTTTTTGTTTTGTTTGTTTTTGTATTTATTTTGTTGACCCATTGGCGTTTGTCGGGCGTGGCGCAGGTACTCGGGCCGACCGCGTATGCGGTTCGAGAAGCTGCAGAACTGCATGCTCGCCCTGCAGGCCATCAAGAACGAGGGCATCTACCTCCTGGGCATCGGACCCGAAGGTGAGCGCTCACCTTCTTCTTCTTCGTTGTTATTTGTTTGTTTGTTTTTTGCTCAAACCAACCGCATCAATCACTAACCCCACAACACACACACACACACACACCAGACATCGTCGACCCCAACCTGAAGCTCATCCTGGGTCTGATCTGGACTCTCATCCTCCACTACCATCTCCAGGGCGGCGCTGGTCTCACCAGCCGAGGTCTCTCCTTTACCACTTCTTCACCGTGAGATTCCTTGAATTCCGTTCTAAGCTGCGTGCTGCGTGTGCGTGTGCGGTGTGTGGTGTGTGTGTCTGTGTCTGTGTCTCTGTGTGTGTGTCTGTGTGCGGTCGGCACGTGCGCACGCTAGGCGGTAACGGAGGCGAGATCACCGCGGCGGGCGCGAGCGGCGCCGGCACCAAGTCGGGCGGCGTGGCCAAGGGCGGTCCGGCGAGGGCCAGAGGCGCGGCCATGAAGAGCGAGCTGCTCGAGTGGGTCAAGTCCAAGTGCGAGCCCAAGGGCGTGCAGGTCACCAACTTCACCTCTTCGTGGCAGGTACGCACATCAAGCTCTGTCTACGCGCCTGGCGTGTGTCGTGTCGTGCCTTGCGTGTCGTCCGCACAACAGCTCACGGAGCTGGGCGCTGTGTGTGTTGTGTGTGTTGTGTGTGTTGTGTGTGTTGTGTGTGTTGTGTGTGTTGTGTGTGTTGTGTGTGTTGTGTGTGTTGTGTGTGTTGTGTGTGTGTGTGTGTGTGTGTAAATTGTAGGACGGTCTGGCGATTGCGGCCCTCGTGGAGAGCCTGCGCCCGTCCACGCTCGACCTGGAGGCCCTCAAGCAGCAGGTCAAGG